AAAAAGAAAGAGAGAAACTATCAATAAACTTTTCCATCCAAACAAACTCACTGTCATCAAGTTGGTGCTGACTCAGAGTGACCCTACAGAACAAGGTAGAACAGCCGCTGTGAGTTTCTGAGACTGCAACACTTTATGGGAGTAGAAAGCCCTGTCTTTCTCCCCAGGAGCAGCTGCTGGTTTCAAACTCCTGACCTTGCAGTTAGCAGCCCAACGTGTAACCATTACACCACCAGACCTCCTAAACTTATCCTTGTAAACAACAATAGCATATTCCCCAGTTCTGTCCACCGAAATGTCTAGAAACAAGGACCAACCCAGGCACAATGAACACCCCTAAGTGTTCAGACTTTCCTTTCCAAAAGCCATTTCCCACTAAGAAGAACCGGGGATCTTTGGAGAAATGGCCAATTCCAGGTCTTAGTTAGGGCCTGGAACATCTTAGCGTCCTTGTTATTTTTGTGATATCCAAGACACTAGGGCCATGGCCAAAGGAATCAGCATCAATAGAGATGCTCCCTGGCCAGAGAAGATGTTGACATTCAGCATCAATAAAAATGACAATCAAAATGGATCGATGCACAGTGGTTACATGTACATCCATGAGTTCACCAAGGTGCTAAACGAGGGGGGAAAAGCCAATGGTCACCATTGGATGGTGCGAGGCGAATAAATCCACCACTGTCTTTCAGTTTGTTGTACTGTGGTGGTTTGCGTGTGTCTGTGCAGCTGAAAGCGATGCCCCTGGTGTTTCAAATGCCAGCAGGATCACTCAAAGTGAACAGGTTTCAGCTGAGCTGCCAGACCAAGAGCAGACTATAAAGCAGGTAGGCTGTCCACTTCCGAGGAATCGCCATGCAACTGTTAAGGCTAGCCCCGAAACACTGTCAGGCGAAGAACCCATGACTAGAAACAACACTGTCAGAGGCGGTGCCAGAGGATGAGCGTCTCATGGCAGAGGGCACTCCAACTAGGCTGGGGGCAGAGCTGCCTTTGCAGAGTGGAGCCAACCAGAAGGATGCGGACAGACGGAGGACAACCTGCGGGAAGGGAGACTTCAGACCTTCATCGGTGGATGGAGTACGACACCAAATGAGAAGAAACAGCTGCAACATCAATGAAACATCAAACTCTGAATGTATGAAGTGCAAATGTTGGAAGACTGGAAGATGCAAGAAAATATGGAATCCATAAAGAACAACATTCGAGGTGTTAGTGAGACTGGAATGGACTAGGATCAGGCCCTTTTGAGTCAGAGAATCACTTGGTCTACTACACCAGGAATGACAGATTCAAGAGGAATGAAGTCACTTTCATGGTCAAAAATGACATTTCAAGATTTATCTTGAAGGACAATGCAGTCTGGGATATGATAATATTTATCTACATGCAGGGATAGCCAGTCGATACAACGATTCTCCAGATATATGCACCAACCACTAAAGCTTGTGATTCAGAAATGGAAGAATTCTACCAACATCTTCATCTGAAATTGATCAAACATGCAATCAAGATGCACTGATAATTATTGGTAATTGGGCCAACTGAAAAAGAGGGGAAGAAATTAAAGAAATGGATAGGGGGGGAACAGGGCACTAACCCACCCAAGGGGAGGTTGTTGTTTATATCTCCACAGGGAAAGAGGGACCAGATTTCAACCTGGTGCTTCAAGACATGAACGCAACACACCGGCATGAAGCAGGGAACCAGTAGAGAGGTCTGAGGGCCGGCCCCAATCCCAACTATGTGGACAGCCCACCCTC